TATGTGGCCTATACAATGACTTGCGGTGGCCAGCCGATGTACAAGTCAGTGCTTTTATCCTCCTACACCTGGGAGGATAAAAAGAGACTAGTACCAATTCACCCACCCCGGAGAGATGAAAGGCTTGGCTGGCCTAGGCGGATATCGATCCGGAATTGAACCCGTAACCATGCATGTGTGAAGTGGGCCACTTGCCACTACACCACGTCCGCACAACGTGATAGTGATGCTATTTTATTACTTATCCCTAATGTTACAGTACGCTCAGTAAGCTCACGGACGACATTTTTCAAGTCGAATAGGAATCTGCTTGTGCTACTGTAGACAACTGACTTCTCATGACTACTCTTTATTTGGAATACCAACTTTCGTTTAAGGTTTTGTCTCTGACTGATCCCCTTTGACAACATCACATTCTTTCCTGAGACTCCCCATTAGTGCGTCCACCTCCCCTCCCGCAACTTTCCAAATTTCTAGATCGATAGAATTGTTGATAACTCTTCAGAACCTCTTAACCTACTCTAAGAAATGCTGCAAATTGTATCCATTCCAGTTTCAGCATGTTCTCTGAATCTATTGAGTAGTTGAGCGTCTTGAAAGATTCCTTTGGGTCCTCCCTAACTTCACCGTTTTCAAGTTTCTCAGCCGATCGGCTTTTGATCATCCCCACATCTTATCTACCTACATGTAGGCTAGACCAGTAAACCCAGATCCATCAACAAATCGAAGAAGCAAAAGCAAGTTTTGAGCTAGACCCATGAATTTGCAACATGGTGCTAATCTTATCAAAAGCTGTTCAGGTGTTCAAGTGGCTACACTTGCCGGCACTAGATCCAACGAGCTGTTGTTCTTGAGGGTGATTATGCTCAGGGGCGAAACTGCCATCGCTTTTGTCATGCAATATCTCTACTATGAGTTTTGAAGCATCGAAGAGCAGGGCAGGCCCAGATAACGATTTCATTTTGAACGAGAATCATTCTAGGGGCCCACATTAACGATGGTTACAATCAACGGTCCCATTTGAATGGTGATATCGTAGCATCAATACACAATGAGTTCCAAGAATGATTAAATGCCACGAATTCCCAGGACGTAGCTCTGCAATAAGTTTGCGGGCAACATCAAAGAGACGGCAGAAATAATTTATTTGTTCTTTCTTATACAACAGAATTATGGGTTTGAGAATCTTGACTTCGTCGAAATGAACACGCTCGGGAAGCCTGAAAATCAAAATCGAAAAGATTCGCTGAAAAACATACTTTCACAATCATCTATGCACCATTTCAGCTGAGGAAGCTATTCCTAAAATCGAAACTCAAATGGTGCATCTATGAAGCAGTGATTTGAGGTGCCGTATCTAACATGGACGGTTCCTCGAGCGAATCACTATCAGGTGTACCCTAGTAACGATTTCGTTTGGGTTTTCACCTATTTTTGTACAGAGTAGATAAAGAATCCACAGTACTAGAATAGCTGATATGCCCGAACTCGAATCCCTCAATGATCATGGTATCCCTAACCTGTTTATGCATCCGTAACGCCTTCACGATTTCGCTGCAACGACTACTTAGCCCCGGCCCTTTTGCTTCCGAAATGGACTCACCGGTCGATCTGGCTTGACTAGCTTCACTTCAACGTCATGTGCGTGTCGCTGTGAGTTGGTTCGACGTATTGATGCCCTTTCACTACCACTTCGTCGAGACTTCGTTGTTCGCGAAGAAGCGTGTGACCGAAGAGATGTCCATTGAGCTCGAAGCTTAACGCGCAGTAAAAGTTTTCATAGTGAACATAGGCTAATGTCATACCTGTCTCCTAAGAGCCGGCGTTCGAGCGACAACGATTAGTGGATTCAAAACTGGATCGACAAAAGCAGCTATGCGTGCAACATGGTACCTAAACATCGAGGTCAGAGGCTTGCAGCGGAATCATTCCATGTCGAACCTCTCTAGATCTGGTGAGACTTTCAGGAAAAATCCAAACTAAGAGGATAAAAAAGCTGAAAAATGTACAAGGGTCAAAGAAAAGAGACCGGGACACTGCGAAGCCTGATGGAGTGAAGGCGTATTTATGAAAAGAACCTTTGAAAAGGGTCATCTTACCATTTCGAAAGATTTGCCACTTCCTCTCGGTCGTCTACCCAAAACACGGCGATCTCTATATAAGTTTGGCCGAGCACTGACACAAAGAATGTAGCAATAGAGAAGATCAGCGTATGGAAGAGCTTCTCGCGACGGCGATGGGGAGATTGATCCCTGAATAGAACACATCGTTAGGAACAATTTCAGAACATTTCGGCTTTCTAATAGTCTCCCAGAAATATTATTTGAACTTTCAATGAAGATATGAGATCGTCCAAGTTGAGTTTTTCGAAGATACAAGAAAGTTCCGAGAAGATGCGAAGGTTTCATTGTTTTTTGGTATCATAGGAGATAATATCTAGAGTGAAAGAGTGGAAATAGAGAGTGAAAATTTCATAATGGTCGGCGTCTCCTTACATCATTTTATTATGCACATTAATAAAATGATGTAGGGAGACGCTTCTGACTTCATAGGGCGCCCTATGCGAGGGCATTGAGGTCCTGCAAAGAAGACATTCCTTTACGGGGTGGTGTATAATTTGGCAAGGATCAAGAGGAAGTGCCACGTGGCAGTCATCACGTTACTCTGGCACCTTTTTCTGTCGCCTTTTATGGTCTCTCTGAAACACCTGCTTCCACCTATGATCACTGATTATTCCTCCCTATTTCTGCATCCATCAGCTTTTGTTTATACTTGTTCTTCGAACTTCCTCGCGTATATCACGACACTTTTTTTGTTTTTTTCACAGAGCACAACAGTGGAGCAAATGTGATCGGACATGAGCACGAATGGCTAAGGCTTCTAAAGCTCTCTATGTGACGTTATACAGGGACCGCGGCGTAGCAGTAAGTTTTTCGAAAATGGTTAGGAACTCGAGTCTCTTTCCATATCATTGTGACCAGTTCATTGTGACTATTTTTGAACGAAGAAGACGTCATGAGGGTGCCAACTTATTGATGGGCATTGCTCGAATATTGTTTGGGCCTTCGACACCGACCACGTTGGCATCACACGGCAGCCTTCAGGCTGACCGCTGATGCACGGAAGCGTCGCAATGCAACCAGGAGGTTTGCATGCCCCATATTCGATCGTTTATGAGCTCGATTATGAGCTTCTATTCCACATGCGCACNAGTCCACGAAATAAAACGACGCACCGTAATCCACTGTGAATGAAGTCATGTTGTCTGCGTATACGGCAATGATAGGCTACAGTCACTGTGAAAATCATGATGGAAGCAAAGAGAAAAAGCAGAGTGAACAATGTATGACCGCGTAGCAAATAGGCACCAAATGCATGGAAAACGGCTGTTCTGTCGCACTGTGTGGCAATCTCTTCATAGTTCGACCGCGGAGTTCTAAAAACCATGTAAAAGTAGGATTCAACAGAGACTACAATATAATTTACAATCGAAGAACATTTTGTGGTTAAATAAAGATAAAGGAAGACTAATGAAGAGGAAAATCAAAAACTCTTCGCGAAGGTTTTTGAAAAAATTTCATCAAGCTCACATTTCACATTGAAGGTACGTCTTTCCTTTTGCCAGTGTTGAAAACAGCTCGTCAAGATTCTTGATTGCGTTAATCTATAAGTAAAAGGAATTTCTTTGATAGCCTATGAATAAACTTCAAAATCAATGAGATCAGCAACAGCGAGACGTACCTGTAGGGTTGAGAATAGCACATGGGTCATGATTAGGAACACCCAAACGCAGGCGAACACGGACACGACGGACACTCGAGACAAATGAATGGACTTGCCAGCCATCGAACGATTGATTACCAGCTAAAACAATCGATTTGTCCCGTAGATTAGTAAGAATCAATGTCAGTGGAGCTCCTTCATAATCGATTGAACCGCCCAGAGATAAACTGCCCAGAGAACCTAACAGTTCGCACAAAAACGATCTACTGAATAATGTGCTACCATAGAGGATTGTCGACGAAGAAAATATCCAGAAAATCATATACTCGGTAAGCATGGTGAAGGATGAGAGGTAAAAGAAACGTTAGAACGAAAAATGTGCCCGACTTCTCTACAGGCACGGTAAATTGTGGACCGGTAGCTGGAGATAATGTAATAATCGCCAAATATTATTGCAAAATAACGACATTTTGTTTGAAGACATACCAGAACGAGGACCAAAAGATGGATCAGTCCTATTAGGCTGCCGTTTTGAGCCAAGGAGTACAGTGTCTCTTGGATAAGATGTTTTCTGGAAGGATCGAGTGAATTGTCGCAACTATCACAGCATTAATTGCGCCAATGTGGTTACGAAAGGAACAGATTGACAACAATCTTTTCGTATCAGCTCACCACCCTAACTAGGTGTTCATGAGTATTATAATATACGTACCGGAATTCGCTCGATGCAAAAAGATGAGTTTGAAGCGATTCCGCAACGATCAGTTCTGGAGATTTGTCCACATACTGAACAATGAATTGTTAGAAATGGTGCTTCTCAACGTAAGAGCGAAAGCCTATTCCATGTCCATGTCAAAGTCCATGGAGGTAAGATTTTCTCTCGAGCAATTGTCTCGTTTCAACTCACCACCTTCACTAAAACAGTATAATACGAAGTCCCTTTACCCACTTCTGCAAGGCTACCGGGACACGTCGGACTTAGGATGGTTTTTTGAAGAATCATTAGGCTGAACGTGAACTCACATCTTCATTAACACTTCCATATGGCCGGTCATCAAAGACAGCGCCCATGAAAAAGACGAAGGAAGAAAAGAAAAGCAAGTTAGAAAACATGATATTGAATACGAAAAGAACCGTGGCAGTTGAAAGGCTTCGTTTCGTCTGAAAATTATGGTACTGAGAATGTCAGGGATACGGCGACTCTTGTAGAAGATCACTCGCCTTAAGGAGCAGTCCTGCGAGCAGGAAGGTATTGAAAAGCACTAGTACCAGGAGGCAAAGCTCTGCATAGAAACTTCGCCAAGCACGATTTGCCAGTGACCTGAAACGAACTGCCAACCGGTTAAGGAGGAAATACCGAGCTGTCTCAGTTCCATCTCGGACTAGGACTGGTGAATCTTCGTATTGAGACTGAGTCAAAGTCTTACAACAAGTGACAGCTACAGGTAAACAACTGGGAACAAAAAGAGGAAGAGCTCGTTAGATGATCAATAATTGATCTGTAACACCTGACTGACTGATCACTGAACTGTTGACGGACCAATGAACAAATAGACATACCTGAACTTCCGATCGTTGTTGAGATCGCAGATGTGGATATTATTATGCGGACAGCAAGCATGAGAAACATGAGCTGATATTCGATCGGCTCTAAATTAAGCTTGTCAGATGGTACCAACTTTTATGCTAATGGGAAATCGGTCAACTCCTAAAACTTGCTTTGCTTCGTCAGTTTCATTGCCTGAAAATGTCTCGTTACGCTCCATTTCAGCGACTGCTGCTTGCCTGCACCTAAACAGATAACTGCTGTTGAAAGTGGCAACTACAAAAAAAGGTATGAGCTCTGACCATCTAATTTCCCTCCGTTCAGAATAATCATGCCATATTCCTAATGATTTTGTTTTTATTTTTGTAAACTATCGAGTTGTGGTAGGTTCTGGTTAACCTGTTGCAGCTCAAGTCTTGTCCTACCTCATCAGAGTTAAGGAAATTTCAGTGCTACTAGGATCACGTTACTATTACTTTTCCTGGTCAGAGAGCGGTCCCATTTTTATTTTTATTTTTTCAAACGAACTGCTTTCCTGTTTCCACGGAGAAGATAATTCCGAAGTGGCGAAAAATGGCGATCTTTGAGAAACGCTTGAACCTGCGTTCCACTTGAACCTCTCCTGTAGCTTCGGTGATTCAAATCGAGATCTGAGTTCCGGATGTTATCAATTCGTAGCTTACCTTTTGACTTGTTCAATTTGCTTCCAGAGCTTAATCGCAGCAACTGAGAAGTTCTGAAGAACCAGACGCGTTTTGAGAACCAGAGAGGGCAGCTCCGAATCCGAATGGATATTCGAAACCACGCTTGAACTGAAAATTTACAAAATGAATCGCCTGCAAAACATGCAGGACTTCTGAAGTGGGTTCAATTAACCTGAGCAAGTTCATAAAGAGAACATCTTCTGATAGTGCAAGCCCCATGTTGGAAATTGCCTGAAATATAAGCATGAATATGGGTTTTCGATTTGTTTATTTGCTAAGTCTACTAGTTTTTTAACTCGCTTTAGATCTTCAATTTTTGATAAACTCAGAATTCTTCCGAATATGTTATTTCAATTCTATTATTAATAAAAAGGCACAAAGTCACAGAGGGTTATAAATGAAAGAGAAAATTGTCCTTCCGCGATTGTCGTCATACTTTTTACCGCTGTTCCTTTGTTTGATTCAGAGATGTCCCTTTTATTGATTCACTGCCCCACAAGGGTGCTCGTCAACAGCTCCCGAGCAGTAACTAAAGCAGCGAATCTTGCACAAGTCTCTAAACTCACTATGGAACTCCCGACGAACTCGGCAAAACTGTCACAGTGACGTGAGAACCGTTGGAACATCGAAGGAAACTTCAACAACGGTGTAGATGTGCCCGAACACCGCTGGAAACAATCTTATTGAAGACGTCTGATGAAGAAGTGGTGAAGAAGAAAGAATTGAGACATATCAGACACCTCGCTGATTTTTCGCTGTCGCTTCGAAACGTGCGGTACGTAGCATCGGCTGTACAAATCAGAATAGACATCAGATACCCGCTGACAGATCTGCCTGAAAGCTAGTGAGCAAAACTTCTCAGAAAACATCAAATGAAATAAGTTTTTACTTACATTCGATCCAGATTATCTCGTTCGTAGAGTGCTTTGAATAGGGACGCATACAGATACATATTGAAATGTTCTTCTTTAGCCACTAGACGGCCTTTGTCGCAGATCTTAATAAAACAATTGATTTCTCAGAGCATGAATTCCTGTTTTTTGTCGTAATCGTTCTAGTAAGTTCTGCATTTTCGCAAAACCCAGGGTATCCTTTAACGACAGTGCAGAGGTCGAACACATCGTATTGCAATTATACAGCTGTTCAGATCGTATCCCTATCATCCAGTACTGTACATAATCACTTCCGATTTGGTGCGAGCTTCCTAATTTGTTGGTAGGGCAAACAGGCCGACATCCANCCGACATCCACCAACGTGACCCCCCCCCCCCTTAAATACTTACAAGATTCAGATTCTGAAGGCAGGGACTACTCTCAACTTTGGGATATTTGTGTAGAAAGCAATGTACAGCCTGAAGTGGAGCAATAGTCAGTGAATTTTGAAAAACTCACCAGAGCGTAAGCATACTTAAGAAATCTTATCTGGAATTCGCGATGATAAGAGTGAGCAAATCGACTATAGGCAAAAATCTGATTCACTTCACAGAACCTAAACACCTTGCTCAGTAGAAGATAAGAAAGCTTCCACTTTAATCCGACTCACCTCAGCGATCGCATCAACCACACCAAACCTTGGTCCTTTTTTGGAACAAATTTAGCAAAATCTGGATAACAGAGTACATACTTCTCCATGTAAAAATTAATCTGAAACACAATTATGAGTAAATGCTGCGAATTGAAAAAACTTAGCTAACCCTTGGAAAATCCGGTTTGATCAGTATAACCTCGTCCATCTCGTTTGTGCACAGTTCATAAATTCTGT